ACTGAAATTAATATTAAATGAAAATAATCTTCCTTGCCTTTTCGTGCCAGTGTCTACTGGGTGCTCCAAAATTCCGACAATATCGTTCTTGTCGACAACTGAGACATCTTCAACTTCGGGAAATACGAAATTATTCACTTTTTTCCTTAAAAAATTAATTTGTACCTCCACATCTCGAATATCTACGATTTGGCCAACATAGTGTGTTACCGATTTTTTACCCATAAATTTTACAAGTACGAAATCATTTTTCTCCATTTGTTTGTCCATAAAAATATCGTTGTCCTGACCATCATCTTCCATCCAGCCTTCATCCTCTGATTCAAGTATTACTTCTGTAGAAGAATTGGAAGAGGAAGATTCTTTCCTACTCCTTTTTGGTTCATAGGAAAGAGATTTCTTCACTCTATTCTTTTCTCGCATTTCAGCTCTTTCTTGCGCACGTCTTTCCTTCAAATCTTTAGCCTCTTTTTCAGCTTCCAACTGATCTTTCACTGGTGTGCTCGTGTAAATAGTCGACTTTTTATTTTTTCTTGCTTTGGAGTTTGATGAGCGATCTGCTTTTAGAAAAGGGCGGCAGCTCTCAGGAGTAATTACAGCTGTTGATGTAGTTGCTACTGATGGTGAAAGCGTAATGGGAGCTACAGGTAGCAGTCTTGTGGAGATTGAAGCAACTTCTAATATTCGCTCAGGATCTTCAGGATTTCTTGGGTTCATTGCTGTTGGTGGTTCTTGATTCCTATCTGTTGTTTCGGCAGCTTCATAATCCTCATCGGTGAATACAAGACGATTTATTGGCCATAAACCAGCAGATCTGAATCCAGATGTTATATTCTTCATTGTAAATGCCACAGGAAAAGCAATACCACACAGTTGAGCAACATCATATATTTGTATAGGTCTGCCTGGATGATTTTGAAGCCAGTCTCCCATTGCAACCCGTAATGCAGCTTTATAAGGACCATATACTGCAACATCTAGCGGCTGTAGTTTGTGGCTACAATGTGGCGGAAACGATAAAAGAGTAATTCCAGATTCTCTAGCTAAGTTTATAGCTTCCAAACTTATATGACTTGAATGATTATCCATTAATATCAGTAGAGGGTTTTCTTTAGAAGCACTTAAGTGCATTTTTATGTGCTTTAGTACTTCTAAAAATAATTCAGCAGTCATATAGCCAGACTGATGAGCCAGACCAATGCTCCCTATTGGTGCACCATCTAAGAACCGGTCTTTCATATTCTTCCTGGGGAATATGAAAACTGGAGGTATTGCTTGTCCAGTGGCTGTTATAATTCCGCACATTGTAACATTTTCACCGCGTTCTTGAGAGGCCACAGCTCCTATTTGTTTTTTTCCCTTTTCAGCTATACGTTTGGGTGGTGGTAAGACCGTGGGTATACCTGTCTCATCTAAATTTATTATCCTTTCTGGCCTTCCTTTAAATTTATCTAAAACTCCAATGTAATTATCAAAAAATAAATCCACGTTGGATTTGTTAAAGGCTGCATCTCGTGCTATGCTTGTATTTTCAGGTTTTCTAAGAGATAAATCACCATGTCGTTTCATAAATGAATATATCCAGTCCTTTCCTGCTATCTTATTTTTAGTCCAATTCGAAGGAATTTCTATTTGTAGAGCACTACCATACTCAAAAGCTAGGGTACAAGCCTGCTTGTAAGTCAAGCCATAATGTAATCGAGACGCCTTCTTAAGATAATTGACAATGTGTTGTTCTTGTTCATCAGAAAATATTTGGCGACCTCGAAATTTATTGACGCCAGAAACATTCAAGCTAACAATTTCTAACTCATCTTCGTTACCTGAATCATCACCAGAGGGTATATTAGCATCTTGAAGGTTCCTCTTAGCCGAAATGACTCTTTTGTGAAGCATACTTTTTTTCAATTCATATTTCTCTGCAATATTTCTCAAGCTTCCTTTTTTTCTTAGGATATCCTTTATTGCACGCTCTACAACTTTTTCATCAATATCAGCTCTCGCCGTTTTTCTACTGTAAGTCCTCATCTGAAACAAAAAAGCGATTTTTATCACATGATTTTTGGAAATATAATCATTTGTGGGGTTAGTGTGGACAGCTGATGATTTGTCCACACTAACCCCGAACGCCATGTTTGACAGTAACAATGGAATGACGTTTCGAAAAATGATAATTTTATCTCATTCCATATCAAATGTAGTAATTAAATATTCCAGAAGCCATACACTAACTTAGGTATACAATTAGTTCAATAACTTCAATTTTAGTATAATTTTACTTACCGTGTGAAATAAATGGATACAACACACAAAATCACTTTCTGTCACTGGCGGCCATATTATAGAAAATATTTCAACCAACTTTTACGTGGTGTTCGGTGGCGTTAATAGTCACTTCCTGAACAGACTGGGCGGCAGATTTAAATGCGAGTTTTTAAATAATTAACTATGTCCACACTAACCCCATGTCCACACTAACCGCCCTCTCCCCTATCAACAGCAGATTAAGAAATTTTGAGACACTCGTCTTTAACCATATACAATTCATATTCAACACACAACACACGTATACAATGCACTAACACTCTACACTACACCGCACCGTAGTGAAAAAAATCCGCTTTTATACCTTTTTAGTCAAAACATGGCTATATTGCCTAAAACATTTTATGTTCTAAAAGGATTAACGCCTTAAATATGTTAAAGGTCTCTATCAATAGCTCTGTATAAATAGTTGCGTAGCTATTAGACTTGTTTAAGGTGTCATTTTTCTTCTTACGGTGCCCTATCCAATTAGTGGATGTTGGCGACAATTCTGGCATACTTCTCTCGATCTTGTGTGGCTCTAAAAAGTGCATGGGCATCGAGATTTGTCCTATCCCTTATGTTTTTAAGCCTTTCTATCTTCCCTTCCATAATAAGCTTTAAGAACTGGTACTTGGAATTTCGAAATATATATGACCCAGATAAGCAGTTTTTCTTCTTTTTATTATTGGCAGCAATTCTCGTTCTCTGCCCATTCGATTTAATACTTCGACATTTGTTGTGTGATCTGTCCAGGGAATTTTAAGTAGTCTTCTAAATACCCACATTTCAAAGGCCTCCAATCGGTTCATCACATTGGCCTTTATGGTCCAGGTTTCTACACCATATAGCAGTATGGAGTAAATGTAACATTTTACAAAGCGATATCGAAGCGTTAAGTTGAGGCTGCTGTTGCTTAGCAAGGTTCTCATATTAGTAAATGCTGTTCTGGCTTGCTCAATCCTGTTACGTATCTCTATGTCTGGATCTAGATCTTCAGTTATCCAACTACCGAGATATCTGAACTTGGGGACCTTTTGGATGTTCTTGTTGTTTACTCTTATATTTAATTGCATATTTCGTGTTCTACTAACCACCATTACCTTCGTCTTGTCTATATTAATCTTCAAGCCCAGTCGTTCTCCTTCAGTGTTTATTCTATCTATTAGTCGTTGTAGCGCTTCTTGGCTATCAGCTATTATGACTGTATCATCAGCATAGCGAAGATTACTAATAGTCTGTCCGTTGATTTTGATTCCATCTTCAGTGTCACTTAAGGCTCTTTTAACATCGTTTTAGAGTAAAGATTAAAAAGGAGGGGTGACAGAACACAACCCTGTCGTACACCTTTTTCGATTAAGAAATATGATGTAGATTCCAGTCCTACTCTCACAGATGCCTCTTGATTCATATAAAGGTTCTTTATGATTTTAAGGTCATTCTCATCTATCGAACGTTCCTGGAGCAATCTTACTAATTCTGAATGATTAACACAATCGAATGCTTTCTGGTAATCTATAAAGCATAGGAAGACATCTTTTTGCTGATCTTTGCATTTCTGAAGTAGGACAGTTAAGCGATAAAGTGCTTCTCTTGTGCCAAATCCTTGTCAGGTGTCATTAATGGTATGTAAGTATTCAGTTCTTTGTATTGACATTTCATGGGTTGTCAATTATGATTATGACTTTAATTTAATACAAAACGTAAAATGTTTGATGTAAATTCCAATTATTCTGTTGTTTTGTCAAATCCTATTATAATTATCCTGCTGATATATTTACTTTATTTAATAATTCGTTAACTATTAACTTTAAAAAAGATATTTTGGTTTGGTTTATTAAGTTATTATAGCAGGAGGTAGATATGACGTACCCATACAGTGTGTTAAGTATTTGGTTAAGGTAACAGATAGTGTCACTCCTCTTTTCAGGGAAGACATTAAAAAGGATCAAAGCAGTGAAATAAATAAGGGATTTCATGTCCGAAGAAAGGTCATATAAAGAGATTTGTTTGGAAGAGTGTACAGGTTGCATTTGTTTTATATTTTTCTTGGTTGTATTCTGCGGTGTAGGCATTTTTGTGAGAATGCTGGGTGGCCTCCTTTACAGTTGGGACATTTTGGATCAGATATCTTGGGGCATGCATTAGACCTATGTTCTTGTAAACAGAATGGACAAACAAATGATTTTTCTGTTCTTTCTTTGCTAAGATGTCTGCTTTTGCAATATTTCGAACAGTATTTCAGTTGAAACGGAACGCAATTGCTTGATTTTGGGATCTCACAATTCAACCGTTCTCCTTCGATCTTGATATTGTTCGAAAGTGCATCGGCGAATCTAGTTTCTGAGTTTGTGAAAACTCAGAAACTGAAGTGATAAAAAAGGTGGATTCGTTTGTTGATGCCGGCAATGACTAGATGAATGATTTGTGGATCATTTGGAACGGGTCGTGGATTGGGGGTTTTTCTGGATTTAATGGAGTTTATAGAGATGGTGTTATGTCAAGTGATTTGTCATAGTTTTGCCGTGAGATCTTTGACGTTTAGAAGTTAGGTAGTTCGCACGGAAGCTACCTTTTGGGTTGGACGTAATTTAATTAAGTCTAAGGGATTAGGTATGACGCTTTCTGCTTTTTATATTCTAATTCGAAATGGGGAACAGCCAAAAATTATTAGTAACAAAAAAATATACAATGCATTCTTTTATAAATAAAATTTTATTAGTCAACAGTTATCATTTAATACAGCGTATTTATTAATTTTTAACGTTCTCGTGTATCCATTGCAAATAATGTTCCACTTTGGTGAAGACACTGGGTACGTCTGTATTACACCTAGATGGTCCAAAGGATGTAATACCCTCTAACAACCAGTTGTTTTCAGGTTTCCTCAATCTAACTAGTGCACCACCCGAAGAGCCTAAAAACAAAAAAAAAATATATTTTATACAATTATTTTTAAATTTTCTTCTAGTTCCATGACCATTATCGATCGTTGGATATCAGGTTGGTTACCATGTTCGCTATAGTAACTTTATTGACCCCAGCTCCAAATAATGATGTAGTCTATTTTCCGTACCATTATCTTAGATTTTTCAGCCACGGTGTTCTTCTTCTACCAGGATCACGTTTTCATTGGAGATTTCCCTGAATGATCAGATGCAAAAGTTCATTTTTCTCCGGGAGTCTCATAATGTTACCAAAGTATTTCAGCTTGCGTCTCATTATTATATTGACCACTTGTGGTCTTTGGTTTAATCGTGTAAGGACATCCTCATTTCTAACTCTGTCGACCCATGTAAGTATTGAAATCACCCGGTATGTATTAATACACCGAAAAAGTATTTTCAATCTTTTTGCATCGCTGGAGTTGATATAAGCACATTTAAAGTTTGTTTATATATCACAGATGTGTATTTCCTCGGTATTCTTTTGATAGAAAGCCGCTATAGGATATCTTTTGTCGTCACACAAACAGAAATTTTTCGGTTTATGTTTTGTTTATACCAAGTTAGGCGAATGAATTTTAAAGATAATTACATCATTTTCAGTAAGGCGGCTGTCAAAGGCAGTTGGTTTCAGTTTTAGTCTGAATTTAGCTTCAAATTCGTATTAAATTTTCGTTTTTCGTCCTTTATCATGAGAAAATGTGTAGTATAGTAGCAGTGTGAAGTTTTATGTAAAGTTTTAGAGGTTTTGGCAAAAAAAAGTGTTCTGAAAAAGTGATTTATACTCAATGTAATGTGTCAGTTTTGAAAGATTAATCACTGTTTATATGTTTCTAAGTATCTAAGAGATTTGTGGCGTTTACAACAACTTTGAAAGATACCACATGGGTTCCAATTTTATTTAAGAAGCGGAGTTTCAAAGTTTGCGTCCAGTGTCAACTTTCAACCTCATTTTGTTTGTCCTAAGCACTTTATAATATTTTCGCAGTTTGAAGGTGCATTTGTATTTGCAGTGTAAGTCCAGTTCTGAACCCCAGAAATTTTAGATTTAGTGAAATCCAGGTAACTTTTTTTGTTGAACTTTTAAAGGAAAAATAAACATTTTCTAATAATAATTGCTTTCATAACAGATCAAAAAATTGTAATAATTAAAGTTATAAATGTTAGGGTGTGGCTAAGCTGTCATAATTATTAATTATTACCATTTTTAAGTTTAACTTAAACCTATGATTACTTACTTGCACAAGTACCATCGGGATAGTCTCCTGCACATAAATGTGAACCAGATAAGTTGAAATGTAAATTGTTCGAATAATATTCAAAACACTTTTGTTGGTTGCTAATGGTAAGCTCCGCTTTTAGTTTATCAATGCTATTCCTAGACCATCCTACTTCAAAGGCTTTCTCTCCAGGTTTTGCTATTTCGTTAGGTTTTGGCAAGCAAACTGGTGAAATATTGTCTAAAACGTTTAAATATTTTTTAATAAAGTGCTTTTCGCAAAGAATGAATAAAACTGACTAAAATAAAACTGACTGAATAAAACTGACTGACAAATTGCAAAAAGAGCGAAATGTACATAAGTACAATCTTAAATGGATAAACTAAAAAGTCATATTTTTAAAAATTAAAATTACAAGTTGAATACAGTAAATTAAAAGATATCAAATACTAAATTATGTATAGGTAGATGGTTACGATTGGATTTAATTTAAGTCTCTAACCATTCTCTAACACGTGTTTCTGGGTCTACTCGTCATCAGAGAGACTTGTAAGAAGTACAATTGGCTTGTTTCCTTATGTATTTGGACAATACTCAGTTTCTCCTACTTACCACTGTTTGCGTAATTATTCTTACCCAAATACAAAGGAATCGGTGAAATAACGACATAATCGCCTTTTTAGAGTGTTACGCTCTATATAACGTAACTGCTTCTTTATTTTTTTTTCCTAATTTTCTATTAATTATAACTCTTCCCTTTTTTAAATAATTATTTATATTAATTTAATGACCATTTATTCTTGTTTATTGTTTTGTTTTTATCAAAAATCAAAATAATTGGTGCTTAAATTCTAGTTTTCAGTTTTTCAATACTTTATAAAAAGCTTCATATCATTTAATTTATTATTGTGGCTAAGAAATATGTGTAAAGTGTTTTGTTTTATTTATTTTTATTTGAATATTTCAATTAAAATATTTAAATATAAAATACTATACAGTGAACGGCTAAATTATGGAATATTACCATTATTTCGAGAACCGTCGAGTTCGTCGGTTGACGAGTACTTCGGAATACTTCAGAGTACTTCGTACATGAAGTAGGGATGACGTCACCGGTGTAGGTGTAGTGACGTAATCATTAATTTTTTTAAATAGAAATCCATATTCGGTTCGTCCGTAGCTGACGCGACACCTACTGCCTTCATCTGACAGTTTTGGACCTCCCAATTTTCAGGTTAGACGTATATGTTTGACATTATTAAATACATGCGAAATTGACAATTATTAATAACTAGTTTTTTAATTATATATTTTTTTTAAATTTAGTAATGGCAAATCAAGTTTTTACGTGAAAGAGCATATAATTAAAAAAATAATAGTAAAAGTTATGATATAAAAGCTAAAGTCATCAGGCAGTCTGCAGTTAGCTTGAAGGTTTATTAAATATCATTTAAAGTAAATTATTTAATTTTTTTTCTATTTTAATTTAATAAAAATGATATTATGTGATATTTACTTTTTCATATTAATATCACAAATCCATTTTTTTCTTTTCTCTTATTTATACGTAATCTTTGGAAACCCATAAAAACTACACTTACTATTTTTGCTTCTTGCTATGATTAGCACAATTAAATACGCAACATGTATTTGCATACATTTTTGATAAAATTTATGCGTAAAAAGATAGGTCCAATTTTGTCATATTTCGGTGCTACGCACACTGGCATCGTTTCAAGGTACCCCTACCATGGTCTCGCACGGAGCGAATAATGCGACACCTCATTTGAAGGAGAATTTAATTCTTTATTTAACGACGTTACATTTTTAACTAAAATATTTTAAGGGTAAAAAAACATTTTTTTTTTAATTCAAATTCAACTAAATTACAACTAATGATTTAATTTATAATGTACTTGACTGTCATGACTTTCTGAAGTAAATACTTAAAAAGGCAAAATAAGTGACAATAATAATGGACACAAAAAGTTATCTCGTAAACACTGAAACTTTATGTCAAATGTTAATTCAAGCAAGTAATAGTGGCATAGTTACTGTAATATTTATTGACGTAAATGTTATGATCATGCCTGGAATCTTATATGAATGACCTTGGTTCATTCCCCCATCACTTTAACCCATCGAGCAATAAGACAAAAGAGGGAATCTAATCGTTATAAAAAGGAGACCAAAAAAGTGGCCTCTGATGGCGGACACATCCGGAAATGCAAAGGCGCCAAATTTAAATTTTTCGACACTTATCAACAGTAGCTATATAATATTTTTCAAAATGTGTCTTAGACGAGAAAGTTTTAATTAATTATTAATGATAAGAGTCTAAAATGCGACACAATTGTTAAAAAACTTCAATATAAATAAGATTTCATGTGACATTTGGGACAAACAATAACATAACCCAACTAAATTTGATGTCAAACAAGGAGAGAGACTCTCTATCCTTGTCTAAAGTGGCCTCTCAAGATGGCACTTCCTGTCTATCAATATGTTTACCCCTTCTACCTTTACATTCCCTCTTTTGTCTTATTGCTCGATGCTTTAACCCCAGCGAGTTAATAAAGAGAAATGACAGCCTATCTCTCTCACGAAGACTTTAACCAATCATAAACCAAATAAAATAATCAAACGAAGCAATGTCAATTCTGTCAAAAGTAATGACAGATCTTCCGTTTGTTTACAAGTTTTCAATTTTATTTTAAAATCTTTAACTTTCGTATTGCATTTATTGTTAGTAATTTTAATTTAAGTTGGTTTGCTTAGTTTTTAAAGTTTAGTTTGAGTTACCTATTGTAGCAAAGAATTTTTATGTAATTATTTTTTATGTAATTTTAAATATTATGTAATTAGTTTATAACTGTTTTATCTTAAATAAATATACGTATCTAGAAAAAATTGTGCATCTTTTATATATCCTTATTTTCTAGTAAATTTTAATTAGTAAAGAAATAGCCCGCAAGAGGCGCTAAGTGTTATGTATGTAGGGGGTATCTATTCGAATTTGCCGCCAAAAGATGATTAGTATTGACCCCAGCCGCAAGGGGTCCTAATGAACGAAATTTATACATTGAGTTGCCTATCTATTTCTACTATTATATTTTTTATCTATGGTTATGTTTTTGTGAAGTGTCATCAATTGTCAATTGTAATTTATACTTTTGAATACTAAATTATGGCTCACCTAAATGAAACACAACACATAGAAATATTAATTCATAGCGGATGCGGAGATAAAAAAATAACACAGAACGAGGTATGCAATTTATTCAACGCAAAATATCCAGACAGACCCATCAGCCAATCAAGAGTAACTAAAATAGTCCGAAAATTTGGAGTAACTGGGCACAACAATGGATGACTGATAAAATCCTGGAATTAGTTAAGCAGAGAAGGAAACTGAAGGGTAACAAGACAGAATATAAGGAAAAACAAAAACTAATTAAACAAAAAATAAATAAATGCAAGCAAGTAGAAAAGTTGAATGAAAAACATGATACGTTTAATATGTTTAAAAAAGTTAGAGAAGTAGCTGGTCTTTATCATAAGAAAACTCCCCATGCTATGATCGATTCGTCGGGAAAAATGATAATAGACGAACATGAAATTCGAACAACCTGGTGTAATTATATAAGTGAACTGTATAATGATGATAGACCCGAAGAACTGGAGACTTTAGTTGAAGGTGAAGGACCAGAAATACTAAAATCAGAAATACTGCATGCATAAGTTAGCAAGAACAGAAAGCCGTTGGCCCGATAACATACCGACAGAGATGTTAAAGCTTATAAATGAGGAGAACATTGGAATACTGGTCAAACTTTTCAATGATGTTTATTCGACTGGTGATATCCCTGAAGATTGGTTAAAGTCCGAATTCATAACACTACCAAAAAAACAACGTCCGAAAAACTGTAGCGATTATAGAATGATAAGCCTTATGAGCCACACTTTGAAAATATTTCTACGCATCATCCACAGTAGAATCAGAGATAAATGTGAAGAAGACCAGGATGAAACACAATTTGGCTTCAGAAATGGACTGGGAACTCGGGACGCCCTCTTTGCACTAAATGTATTACTGCAGAAATGTCGAGATCAAAGGAAAGACGTCTTTGCTGTATTTATTGACTATGAAAAGGCCTTTGATCGAGTACAGCATCACAAATTAATTACAATATTAAAAGATAAAGGAGTTGATAGTCAAGACATACGATTCATAGAAAGTTATACTGGCGTCAAACAGCGACAGCTTGCATAAACGGAAAATCAACAGAAATATGTAAAATACAAAGAGGTGTCAGACAGGGTTGTATACTATCCCCACTGTTATTTAATTTATATTCAGATAGAATATTTAAAGAAGCGCTGCATAATTTGGAATGGGCGTGAAAGTTAATGGAATTGATAAATACAATCAGATATGCAGACGATACAGTTATTTTAAGTGATGACATGAATGGATTACAATGCCTTTTAAATGCCATTGATACAGTGGGAAGAGAGTTTGGCCTAAACATAAACTGTTCAAAAACAAAACACATGGTGTTTAGCCGTTTAGCACATCAAGATGCACGATTATATGTTGATGGTCATATAATTCAAAGAGTGTCCAGTTTTAATTATCTTGGTTGCCATATTACTGAACAACTAGATCCAGATCAAGAGATAAAATGTAGAATCGAGATAGCCCGCACGACATTTTTAAAATGAGGTCATTCTTCTGTAATGATAACTTGCAACTTCAACTTCGAAAGCGCATGGTTAAATGCTACATTTGGTCAGTCCTCTTATACGGTGTCGAAGCATGGACATTAAAAATATCCACCATTAATCGTCTGGAGGCCTTTGAAATGTGGCTGCACAGACGTATACTAAAAATTCCATGGACGGCTATGCTGACAAATGTGGCAGTCCTTGAGAGAGCAAATGCTGCTCGCGAGCTGCTTGATAACATCAAATGTAGAAAGATGGCCTATTTTGGACACGTAGTAAGGGAGACCGATATAATATTCTTCAACTTGTTATGATGGGTAAAATCGAAGGACGCAGAGGAATTGGTAGAAAGCAGGCCTCTTGGTTGAAGAATGTCAGGGAGTGAACAGGAATAAACGGAGCTGAGCAACTCTTTAGAATTGCTCGAGACAGAGACAGTTTCGCCATGTTATTCGCCAACGTCAAGGGGACTTGATAGGGCACGTTAAGAAGAAAGGCACGTTAAACATATTCCAAACGCTGGGCGTCATAAAATTGAAGACAATGTGAAACTTGATATTTTATTAAATGTACATGACAATCCTCACAGTAGTTCGACACAAATTGGTGAATAGGTTGGAGTTTCCCAACAATCGGTATTACGTATTTTAAAAAAAGAAAAATACCATCCTTACAAAATGAAACTACATCAGGAATTAAACAACGACGATCCTGATCGCCTGCTTCAATTTTTTAAAAGTATGCAGGATTTATGTATCCACATTTCATCCATATGTAATCCACATTTCATCAATCAAATCCTTTTTTCCGATGAAGCCACATTTTTTATACATGGTACCGTGAATCGTCAAAATTGCAGATATTGGAGTCAAGAAAACCCACATTGGATGACTGAGTCACACACGCAATATCCTCAGAAAGTAAATGTATGGGCAGGGATCATTAATGACAGAATCATTGGCCCTTTTTCTTTGAAGAAAATCTAACAGGAGAACGTTATTTAACTTTTTTGAGAAATCAACTTATACCTGTCCTTGCTAACATGTATCCAAATGCCAATAATCCAAATTTACCTAGTGAAAATATCTGGTTTCAACAAGATGGAGCCCCTTCGCATTACGCACGTGAAGTACGTCAATTTTTAAATCATTGCTTTCCCAGGAGGTGGATCGGAAGACGAGGTTTTATAGAGTGGCCAGCAAGGTCGCCAGATCTAACACCTCTAGACTTTTTCCTGTGGGGTTACATAAAATCAAAAGTTTATGTCAATAGACCCCAAAACTTACAGGACTTGAAAGATAGAATTAGGCAAGTGCATTATTAATTAAATCATTAGTTGTAATTTAGTTGAATTTAAATTCAAAAAAATTGTTTTTGTACCTTTAAAAAAATATTTTAGTTAAAAATGTAATGTCGTTAAATAAAGAATTAAATTTTCGTTTAAATGAGGTGTTGCATTATACCATTTCTATTTAAAAAATTAACGATTACGTCACTACACCCACACCGGTGACGTCATCCCTACTGCATTACGTTATAAGATGGGTATTTTATAATAAAAAACGACCTGTTTCGGGATTTCTCTAATAATATTCCATAATTTAGCCGTTCACTGTATGTTCAAATATTATGTTAAATATTGCAGATAGTTTAAATTTTGTTTCATGTCGTAGTTTTTACCTTATAAATGGCTTTTCTTTTTTTGTTTCATTATTAAACCTTTTCTTATATTTTGTATACATTTATTTTCAATTTAATAAACTTATCTTTACGGAAAGTTCCTTATTCGTTGAAATTTAGATCTTTTCATAGAGCTTGGACACATAACTGGTGTTCTGTGTCGAGAACTTAATGTTGCTTTGTTTTTACTAACTTGGGTCTCGTATAATGGTACAAAAATACTGTGATTAGCTTTGCCATTTCACCAGGCTCGATCCCAAAGCATGGCGCAGTTCTCGGTCATGTGTTAAACTACTAAGAGACCTGGTGTCATACCTCCTATCAGCAATTTTCCATTCAGCAGCTAGTCAACGAAGACAGTAGTTCAAGTAAAATATTTGTTTGAGCAATTTTTTTCTTTCTTTGGTATTAACTTATTTAGGAAATTAATACAATACTTACTGTAACGTAGAGTTACATTGACAAGACGAAGGTAATGGTGGTTAGTAGAACACGAAATATGCAATTGAATATAAGAGTAAACAACAAGAATATCCAAAAGGTCCCCAAGTTCAGATATCTCGGTAGTTGGATAACTGAAGATCTAGATCCAGACATAGAGATACGTAGCAGGATTGAGCAAGCCAGAACAGCATTTACTAATATGAGAACCTTGCTAAGCAACAGCAGCCTCAACTTAATGCTTCGATATCGCTTTGTAAAATGTTACATTTACTCCATACTGCTATATGGTGTAGAAACCTGGACCATAAAGGCCAATGTGATGAACCGATTGGAGGCTTTGAAATGTGGGTATTTAGAAGACTACTTAAAATTCCCTGGACAGATCACACAACAAATGTCGAAGTATTAAATCGAATGGACAGAGAACGAGAATTGCTGCCAATAATAAAAAGAAGAAAAACTGCTTATCTGGGTCATATATTTCGAAATTCCAAGTACCAGTTTTAAAGCTTATTATGGAAGGGAAGTAAGAAGGAAAACAAGGCATCGGAAGAAAGAAATACTCATGGCTTAAAAACATACGGGATTGGACAAATCTCGATGCCCATGCACTTTTTAGAGCCACACAAGATCGAGAGGAGTATTCCAGAATTGTCGCCAACATCCACTAATTGGATAGGGCACCATAAGAAGAAGAAGAGCTTACATTAGTCAGATTTTAAATTAAACTTTTTAAAAATTTCTGGTTGGTGAGTGATGGTAAGAAAATTAAGGTCAAATTCATGTTGTTATTACGCAATACTTACCATTGAATTTAACATCTTCTTTTAACCGAATTAAACCGATGTCATCATGGGTAACGTGATGTTCGTTTCCATAGGCTGGGTGTAAAATTACGTTGTCGATATCAACATCGACGTAACTGTTACTGACACAATCTTCCTCATCGGGTAAGCAGTTATGATCTCCTAGGCGAATCTTATCTCTATAATATAATATTAAAGTGATTAAAAATAACTATTGTACAAACTTACTGTTATATTATACTAAACTACACTATTATAATAAAAACTTTACAGAAATTAAGTATATCTCTAAAAGTCTAGAATATGATGGATGAAAACTTGAAAGGAGCAGTAAAAATTTCTTTATGGTAGCACGTCGCGCGCTGTCGGCATTATCTATAATATGCTTGTATTCAAAACCTACACAGAAACAAATTTTTACTGACTATAATACTGGCTTCTATTATAGTACATCTTGCACATCCAATCATTATATTATATGTTATGTGTACATCTGATCTCACACATATCTAATATAAATTTAAGATTTTTAAGCATATTCAAAGATTTAAGTCCAAAAAAATCAGATCAAGAGTTCTTGATCTGATCATCTGATCTGATCTGATGAAAAAGATCAGACTCGAGCAACCGAACAGTCAAGACGTGACCAGAAGCGAGCAGCGCAGCTCCTTGGAAGGGGCGTGGCACAGAGGCTAATAGTTCTTTACAAGGTGTAGAGCTTATGCTAGATCGGTTTTAGCTAAGCCGGAGGGAGGTTGCCTTTATAGGCTTCTATCGGAGGTTATCTCTGATAAAGCAAAAGCGAAAATACGGGAAAGCTGTACGGTGTCGATAGGGATGACACTGTAAGTCTTTGATTTTGACTGCCGAGTCAACGGATAGCTTAATATCCAAAATGTATAAAGCAGTAGTAGTAGCATTAAAGATCCCTAATCCGAAAGCCCAGAACAACCAATCGAATTAGACAGAGACGACGGAACGTACGTAGCCGAAGATGGGAAAGAAGATGACGAGGAACAGAAGGAAGAAGAAGAAGATGAAATCACAGTAAGTAATAAAAAGAACAACGATGAAGAAATGGACTAAATAAGAAGAAAAAGAAACTGCTTGGACTCTGAAGAATCAGAGAAAGAGTCGAAAAGAGTGAAGTAAATAGAGAAAGCCGAAAAAGAAAAGGGCTAAAGAGGACAGAAAAACAGAAAGACATATGTAACGCCAAATGAACCAACACTAAATGAAGGCCTGAGTCTCATACTAAATCCAGAAGATCTAAATGCTAGATCTCCAAACTGGCACGACAGAACAATAACATTGACATAGCAATCCTACACAATATAGGGTGACAACATGAAATCCATTCTGTAAAGAAGGGCGATTCAACAAATAATCTAATCGTCTTGACCCTAGGAGGGACAGATTTAAACTATCTGCAGAACCACAACAAAAAGAAAACAAGTTGGCCAAACTTCAAGAGAATTGTGAGCAAGAACATCGGTGCTATACCCACAATAAACAACATACACGAACTTAAATAATGTATGGTAAAACGAGAACATACAATTACAAACGCCATCGATGCCAGTTCCACAACAAAAGATATAGAAATAAAAAGAGGAAAATTCAGAAACACTAGCGAAGAGCTAAAAGATGTAATTAAAGAAAAAAATAGAAAAAGAAGAAGAGCCTACCGGACAAGAAGAAGGGAGAACAAAAGGATTGCAAACGAACTAGATAGGGAAGGCAAAAAACAATTGCACACCCATAGGAACAACTGCTGGGACAACTACATCCAGGAATTAAATCCAAACAAGTCCGCGTTTTGGAAACTATCCAAAATACTTCGAAATGACAAAAAGCCAATACCTCCTTTAAACGGAGAAAATGGCATAGTACACACAGAAGAAGACAAAACAGAAGCTGTGAAAGTTGAACTAGAAAGGGCTTGCAGAAACAACGAGCATCCCTACGAAAATCTAGACTTCACAGAATAAGTAGAAAGAATTGCAAGAAGACTATAAAGAAAAAGGGGTAGATTAGATATAACACATACTCCTTCGAAGAGATCAACCCATTAATAAAAATGATAAATGCCAGGAAAGCCGCAGAACCGGATAATATCACAAACAGCGCACTGAAAAATCTTCATAAACAGTATGCTCTTCTTCTTCTTGATGTGCCTATCCGTTACGAATGTTGGCGATCATCATGGCAATCTTTATCTTATCTGCAGCAGCGCGGAGAAGCTGCACAGATGTTGTATTGAACCAGATTCTGAGGTTCTGTAACCAAGATGTTATTCTTCTTCCTGGACTTCGCTTTCCAAATATTTTTCCTTGCAGGATGGCTTAAAGAAGAGCATATCTGGATTCATTTCGCATAATATGTCCGAAGAATTATAACTTTCGAGATTTAATGGTGGTCAGTATCTCTCGGTTCTTATTCATTCTTCTGAGGACCTCCTCATTTGTGACTTGGTCAGTCCACGGGTATGCTCATATTGAGATATTTCCTGGGTAGATGGATAAAAACTCAGGTAATCATGATACAAAAACCAAGAAAAAACGGCGCTTTTTCACAAAATTACAGATTTATAAAGTATATAACTAAAATTGTATAAAGGGTAATACTAACAAGATTTAACGAAAAATCGCAACCGCTGGGCACCATACCAGAGGCTCAATTCGGATTTAAAAGTGAACACGCTAAAAGACCCGTAAGGTCTCTTATAATAGCCGCACTGGTGACGTAAGCCTTTTAGACAGAAGATCAAGTATAGATATTTTTACGGCAAATCTGAGCATCGAGGTCATGTGTGGCATACATATGCTCGGTAGCCAGATACTCTCGGGTGCCTAGCCGGCGAGAACAAAATTTATTTTGCTAATTCGGCGGCTGAGTGATCTAATTCACACACTTTTCGGGTAGAGTATCATCAACTCAGGTTGGTGGCACTCTGCTCGGGACACTCACCTTTTTTAGTCCCGCAGTAAAGTTAGAGTAACTTCTATAGAGTCAGTTAAGTAAATAGGGAGTGAAGCCGACATGTGTGCATGTGTGCTACCCCTACAGCTAGGTGACCTAACCACAATAAAGTAAAACGAAGAGAGTTTCATTATCCAGGGTACTCTTAGTAATCATTCACTAAAATCATAAGGCTCTATGCGTAAGTGACACGTCGGAGAGGGGTCAGATAGGTACCACTTTTTTAGCAAAGTGATACTGGTTTGATCTTCGGACATATCCGTGGACCGGTGGATCCATTCTTACAGTGGTATACATATGTTCCAAGGGGTAGGGTTAATCACTTGTGGGTGTGTGTGTTAAGTCCAAAAAATCGACTGCAGAAAACATATAGGTTCATGCTACAGAGATCCGTACTTGTAAAAACAACTGTCGTTTGTAGGGCCTGTTAAAGTGTCATGAAAACAATCTTATTTCCCTGGTCTATATTGTCATAATAACCTTGCAAACCCTCATTTTAAAGAATATTCTATGCTTTTCAGTAAAATTGTGTCACTTTTATATATAGCTTACATGTCTTCACTTTTAGTATTTAAGACCAAAAAGTGATCTTTAATTGTTTATATATTTGTCTATAAGTAAAATCACGTTTAATCTTTTGCATATCTTGTTTATTATATATTTTTATCACCAAATATATTCAAAGGAGCAGTTTGATACCTGTATCAACGAGTGTCATGAGGAAATCGTTAGTTTTCTGATCTAAATATGGGATATACGATACTTTTCTATACTAGCCCTAGCACTAGTTAAAATTTTAGGGTATAATATCGCTTTCGTATACTTATACTTACATAGTGAGTAAGTTTTTTTTTTAGTTTTTATTAGATGTAAATATGTGTTTTTAAATATTTATTGAGAAAGTGTTTAATTTCAGTACAGTACGAATATATAACATATTAAACTCACACATTTCCTTGACGTTGTAAGGTTTTATCTTCTATACACAAGCCGGCAGTCAGGATATACCTTTGGTTGATCAAGACTCCGTCACATAAAAATTTACCGGGATGTTTGCTGAATGAAATTCTGGCTAACCAAGGAAATTCCTTACTTCCAACAAGTGAAGATGAAACACCTTCAACCTTAAATCAGAAAAATGTTTTTAAAATAGCTTAAAAAATTCAAACGTAATAAAAACTTTAAATTAAAGTTAGTCTGTAACCTTAGATAATGACATTTAAAACGCTAATAGGTATCAAATTAGACATTAATAATATATAAGCATAATTGTACCATTATTATTATCGGTGTAGAAAATTTCGACACTAATTAGGTAGCGACTAAAATTTAATAGCTAATAATAAATTTAATATTTGACATCAGCTCTAAAGGCCTATTTTTATCTTACAGGTATATTCGACCTCACATAAATACAGCTGCGGCTTAAATAAAATACCGTAATTAATGTTTAATCTTCGTCTACGAAGTGCTATTATGCCTTGAGTAAACAGTTGGTCCCAAAACTACCCAGAAAAATTAAAGTTACCATATATAAAACACTAATAAGGCCAGTGTTCATATACGGGTCAGAAACGTGGTCACTTTTACAGAACGACCAAGAATTGCTTAAACGTTTTAAGAGCAAAGTTCTAAGGAAAATATGTGGAGGAGTCCAAGAACAGGGTTAGTGGGGTAGGCGCTACAACTTTGAGTTATACAAACAAAGAAGTTTTGGGGAACCTGGCGTTGTAAAATGTATTACATTAGCACGCCTATTTATTTGTTGTCATTTGACTTATATGATCGTTCCATTCTACTTTTCTATTTCTTATCCAGTTTTTGATATTCTCAATCTTGTATCTACGTTGTATATCTGCACTTCTAGCTCTATCCCATAGTGTCTTGCCATTAATTTTTCTAAGTGTTTTCATCTCTGTTGTTTCTAACATCTTTTTGTCCTCTCTGTGCCAGGTCGTGTTTTTGCTGCGTATGTCATTATTGGTCTACTGACTGTTTTGTAAATTCTGCCTTTCGTTTCTTTCGCGATATTTTTATATCTCCATATTGTTTTATTCAGGCAGCCTGCGTCTCTGTTTTTTTTTATTAACTTGATCCTCTTGAACTTGCTTTTCCGATGTATATTTGAACTTCTAGCTCTATCCTACAGTATCTTACCATCGATTTTTCTGGTAAGAAGTGTAGAGCTAGTTCGCGTCCGTAGTAGAATATTACACGTGCACCCTGGGTAAAGCTAAATGAACTAGCACATACTAACAGTCAGACAATCCTTAGGATCTCCTGACCAAACAACACTTCCAACGAAAGATGATAAACAAAATAAACGGCCCTTGTGAAGACCGCACAACCAGACCAATCGGACCTATAGTTTGAATTTGCCATATAAACATAAAAGGCATAAGCTATGCTAAAAGGCAGTTTTTATCAAAACTATTAAAAGATGACAATATTCACTTAGTTACTATACAGGAAACCTACTGTGAAACAGAGAAGCAACTACAAAAATGGGCAAAATACCGGGCTATGAACTATTAGGCGCAACTTACCACCGAACATACGGCACAGAACAGGAAGGTCAACAACAGGAGCTGTGGGAAGATGGAGAAGATAATGAATTGGCTAGACCTCCAACGCTAGAGAAGGTTCGAACAGCAATCCAAATGCAAAAAAGCCATAAAGCGCCGGGAATAGATAAGATACCGGCAGAACTGTTCAAGCAGGGAGGAACAAATTTGACAGAACAGATCTACCAGCTTATACAAGAAATATGGAGAGAAGAAAAAATCCCACAACAATGGAAGAAAAGTATAATCTGCCCTATTCATAAAAAAGGAGACAAACTGTTATGCCAGAATTATAGAGGCATCTCTTTACTTTGTTCGGGATACAAAATACTCACAAACATTCTTAATCGAAGACTTCAACCCCTCACTGAAAAAATTATCGGGGAATATCAAGCAGGGTTCAGGCAAAATAGATCTACTATTGACCAACTATTTACAGTTAAACAAATACTATGACTATGATTGGGAATATGACATAGACGTCTACAATCTCTTTGTAGATTTCAAGCAAGCCTATGATTCAACAGATAGAACAATACTACCTAATATATTACAAGAATTTGGCATACTATCAAAATTAATGACTAGTGCAAATGACAATGACAGAAACAGAAGCACATGTATGTATTCAAGGACAGATCACTGATGCGTTTATGACAACGCAAGGACTGAAACAAGGTGACGGACTGGCTCCAACACTTTTTAATCTTGTTCTTGAATATGTAATTAGACGGTTGACGGTGAGCAGAAATAACATACTTACAAACAAATCTACCCAATTAGCAGCATACGCAGATGACATAAACATAATGAGCAGAACAAAGACTGCGGCAGAAGAAACCTACGTTCAGTTGAAACAGAGTTCAGAAGTTGTAGGGCTAACAATAAATACAAATAAAACAAAACTACTCATACAAACCAGATCAAATAGACAGGCGCAACAACAACAATTTATAGACGATATAGAATACGTGAATAGATTCACGTATTTAGGAATGGATCTGGTCGAAAATAATGAAGAAGAACCGGAAATAAATAGAAGGCTTATGCTGGCAAACAAAGCCTATTTCGCGATGGGCCACATATTCAAATCGCGAGACGTACACCGGAAAACAAAACTCCGGGTATATAAAACAATAATCCGACCCATAGTAAGTTATGGGTGTGAAACATGGGTTATAACACAGAAATCTACCAATGCATTAGACGTGTTCGAAAGAAAAATATTGCGTAGAATACTGGGTCCAATAAAGGAAAATAACAACTGGCGAATTAGATATAATAACGAAATATACGAACAATACACTGAACCAACACTAGCACAATACACTAGACTGCAGAGATTACGATGGGCAGGGCATGTGGCCCGCATGCACGAGAACAGAATCCCCAGAAAATTACTAAACGCAAGAATGCAAGGAAAAAGACCTGTTGGAAGACCAAAAAAGAGATGGGAAGACGAGGTAGATGAGGATGCCAAAAATCTCCTAAAAACGCGTTCATGGAAAAGAACAGCAGTAAATAGAGATGTTTGGAGAGGTTTAATGAAGGAGGCCAAGGCCCGGCTTGGGCTGTAGTGCCATTGGATGGATGGATACGGCACAGCCACATATGTCAAAGAAAATATTGAAAATGCTTCGCTAATCTCTACTTCCACTGATGACTGTATTTACAATGTGGTCACAAAAATCGCTAGCATTACCGTGTCCAACATTTACAAACCACCTGCTATGTCTTGGCCAGCCCAAGCAATTGAAGTACATCCTCACTCTGCTGTATACGTTGGAGATTACAATAGTCATTATGAACAGTGGAAGTACAAAAATAGTGATGCGAATGGAAATGTATTAATAAAATGGGCAGAAGACGAACGCCTGTACCTTTTGTTTGATGCCAAAGATCGACCAACCTTCAGATCCGCGGCATGGAGGCGAGAATACATCCCTGACCTATGCTTAGTCTCGACCGATAACAAAGACTTACCTCTAGGGGCTTCACGAAGAGTTCTAACTAATTTTCCACACAGCCAACATCGACCAGTAATAATAGAAGTAGAAACGCAAATCCCTTTAATTAGTTCTATCCCACATCCAAGATGGAATTTTAAAAAGGCCAACCGGATTGACTTCTCTGCGGATCTAAATAAATGCCTAGGATGGATTACAACTAATATCAAAAACTACCACAGATTTGTTGGTGCTATGTGTAGCTAAAAAACACATACCAAGAGGCTATCGCAAAGAATATATCCCTGGCTTGTCCGAAAATAGCGAGGAATTATATCAGAGATTTCTTAAAACTGGCGAACAAGAAATAGCGGATGAACTACTGTACAGCCTAGACGCCGCTAAAAGCCAAAAGTGGACCGAAACAGTAGAAAGTCTAAACTTCCAGAAATCAAGCAGACAGGCATGGTCATTACTAAGAAAATTAGGGAGTGGTGTCCGTACGAAACGCCGAGAGGCAGCCGTAAAGCCAGATGCCGTAGCATCACATATAGTAAAAACATCCAGTGCACCAAAGGATAAAGCACACATCATCTACGTAAAGAGAGAACTTAAAACTTTAAAACATGTAGCCACAGAAACGGAGCATTCATCAGCGAAGACATATCAGAGGCTCTAAAAGACGTTAAGCTAGCAAAAGCACCAGGATTTAATAATGTTCACCTTTATGTTAATAATGTTCGATATTGTATTTACAAGCTTCATCAGTTCAATGAATGGTGAGTGAAGAATGATGAAATATGATTTCCGAAGTGGAAATTGAAACGTCAATAAACGTATTTTTATCTTTAATTGTGGCTTATTCCCAGTTAAATAGTAATTAATTTAAAATACCACAAGAAAATAGCTTCAGAACAATATTATTATGTGTGTACATGGACTTCACTACATGGATCAGCTTATCTTCTACTCCTATTTGTTGCATGGCTTCCCACAGTCGTTGTCTGGGCACAGAGTCGTATGCCTTTTTTAGGTCAATAAAGGCTAGATGGACTGGTCTGTTCTTTGCCTTCTTCTTCTCTATTAGCTGTTGTATAGTGCAGATGTGGTCAACACATGATTTCCCAGCTGTAAAACCTGCCTGATCGTCCTCTATTTTATTTTGAATTGGTTTTTCTATTTTTTCCTTTATTATTTTTCCATATAGTCTTCCTACAGTATTCATTTGACTCTCGACCTGCAAACATCGCATCGATACAAATTAGGCGAAAGTTTACAGTGTGATTAAAAACGGGCTCCGGTCGCGTTTTTACCGTCATTATCGTGTATCAAGTGGATATACTATTTATAAACTATTTAAAAATTAAAATATACAGTTTTAACAATTAAAATGAGTGCTCCACCAGATTTATCGGTGAGTGTTCCTTTTCATACTGCTACTGTTAATGGTCAACCTATAAATACTCAATATCAGCAACAACAAATTCAACCAGAATGCCCAAATGTCCTTTTTGCACAAAATTCACAACCAAATTCAGCACAAATTTTAAACAATCCACCAACAACAATATATTATGTTCCTAACCAAGTACTATTACAATCTTCCTCAAACTG